TTCTCTCACTTCGCTCCTACAGTTACTGCCCTCTAGGTGTTCGCACGGCGTTCATTTAATGCCTATTATTTCTTATCTGTGTGCAGTGTTTTATCTCTGAACGAGATTATAGCACCTCAAGGTCTGGGGCCGGTGAGACAGACTTGGTTCTACGTGCAGCTCGTCAATCAGGCTGCCCACCTTTGAGCAGCACTATGGTTGCTAAGGAAGGGAAGGAGGAGGAAGGAGGTGGAAAGGGGCACACGGAGGCAGCCCTTTCCAAGCAGCAGAGCACCAGGTCTCTGGGGGTGGCCTATGAACCCCGCCTCTGGCTCACGCTCTGTGTGTAAGATGCTGTCCTGCTGTGCGGCTGCAGATGTTTCTAACCGCCACTTTCCCTGTTGGCGCCTGACACGGGCTCTTGTTTCCTGGAACATCTCGAATCAATCAATAACCAGGAGCGAGTGATAAAGGAGATACAAATGTGGGTGTACCTCAGGCATCAGCGGCGGAACCGGGAGAGGGGAGGCGGCCACTGTATTCTCTGCTAATTCTACTCTACACCGTCCTGTTTCAACTCCTATTAGACCTCAAACAGCCAGTATTTCTCAAGTGCTTGAGAACCTTCTGTTCTGAACTGCAGTCTGGAGCACTCATTCAGCCAGGAGGGAAACGGGCGTCCCCTCACTAGTGTGATCAAGGCTTCACTGAGAGAAAAGGTAAACAGAAGCTTGCCATCACGCGGGAAAGAACCCCGACTGGCCATTCTGGAGCCCCGCAAGCCCCGGCACCCCGAGCACCACACAGGCGTGAGCTCCATTCCTTCCCATTCCCGCTCACCCGGCTCTCGGCCCCTTCCCACCTCAGCAGCAAGGCCAACGTCCGAGCCGTATCACCCTCAATTCCATGACAGCAGAAAGGCTGAAGGGCAAGACGGTTTTGGGGGTGAAGCCTACACCCCTGGGTGTCTTTCACGGACCCAGGCTCAAGTGTGTATCCTGGAGGAGGGGTTCTTGATCAGGCCCTAGAGGAGGGGGTGGCAAGAGAATGTCCGTGTGATCACAAGGAGAGTGGATCAGCTTGGCCATGGCATGGGCTGGACGGTCTCACGGTACACACGTTTCTGTTGGGTACATACTTAGGAGAACTGCTGAGTCATACGGTAAATCCCTGTTTAACCTTTTCAGAAACTGCCCGTCTTTCCCAGAGTGACTGTACATTCTTACGTTTTCAGAAGCAATGCAACATGGGATTCATTTTGTCCAAATTCTCACAGGATTGTCTGCCCTTTGCACTGCATCCATTCGAGAGGGTGTGAAGGGACGTGTACTTCCCAGCAGGCTCTACTAATTTGCACTGTCACTGAACACACACAAGTGTACCTGGGTCTCCATAGCCTTACCGACAATACATAGCATCAGAACTGCGGTTCTGCTGTGGATACTTGTGCAGAATTATCTCATGGTTATTTTCATCTGTATTTCCAGATACTGGTAACGTTCTCTCTTCACATGCAGGTAGGTCACTGGTTTCCACCTTCTGTACACGTCCTCTTCACACATTCCATGTGTTTTTACTGCATTGACATTTGCAGACATTCTGTAGGTGATTTCGGTAGTATTCGTTTGCTGCTACGCATGGAATATATCTTAGTCTGTTACTTTTAACCTTTTTTTGTAGACATTTTTCACCAATTCATTCAGGTTTTGTTTGCTTATTTTGTGGTACAGTACTGGGGACTGAACCCAAGGCTTTTGCACTGAGCTACATACCTAGCCCTTTTTACAATTTTGAGACGGGATCTCGCAAAGTCGCTAAGCTGCCCAAGCAGGGCGACCTGTGACCCTCCCGCCCAGCACCTGGTGAGCTGGGATCACTGCTGTGGACAGCGAGCCAGGCCAGACTGTTTTCTTCATTACAGGTTTGGGTTAGACGTCCTGTTTAAGGCCTCCCAGCCCCGCTCCCAGGATTCTAAAAAGTGTTCCTTTATCTTTTCTTTGTATTACTTTTCGGTTGAATATTTCAGTAAATTTGGGGTTATTTTTCAATATGGTGTTGAGTACAGGAGTACATCTTCGTTTGGTTCCAGGTGCACAACTTTTTTCACTGAATTATCCTTCCCTGCTTTGAAATAAAAACCACCTCAATCATTGTGAGTTCAAGACCAGCCTGGGCTACAAAGTGAGCTCAGGGACAGCCTGAACTGCATAGCGAGACCCTGTCTCAAAAAGACAAAAAAAAAATAAATCCAAAGGAAATGCATCATATGGACTCAGTGACTCTTAGGCAAAATCAACTCTGCCAGCACCACTTCAGTGCCAATGGGCCATCTGTATTTCATCTTCTCTACATTTATTTTTTATTACATTTATAGACACTCTGTATGTAAACTAAGTATTATTCATTTGTTGCTACGTGCATCTAATATATTGTAGTCTGAGATATTGATAAAGCATACAAAGCTTTCAATAATGCTAATGAACAAGATCAATACATCACAAAGGCAGAACACTGTGTAGGTAATGCAAGTCTATACCATTGCTGGGAAGGACATCAAGTTTGAAGAAAATGAAGTAATATATAGGGTGAAGTATTTAAAAATCCCACGACAAAGCAAGTAAGAATTACTAAAAAGGACTTGGTCCAAGGCCTGCGAATCATGACTGAAAGAAATTGGACCACTCAGCCAGGCCGTATCTAATAATAACCAGCACCCAGATCTGGCTCCTTCAGTTACTCTAAGGAAGCATTTCTTTTCCATTAGGCTTCATTCGATTTATACAAGCCTTGGAAGTACACTAAGCCCTTAGGAGGATACTGTATTAGTCAGCTTTTGTTGCTGAAGTAAAGTATTTCACATACACAACTAGAGGAGGAAAGTGTATTCTGGCTTATAGTTTCAGAACGTTCAGTCCATGGTCAGGTGGTTTCATCGCTTTTAGGCCTGTGCAGGGCAGAAACAACTTGGTGGCAGGGCATGGTAGAGACAGTTGTTCACTGCATGGCAACCAGGAAACGGTTAAGGAGCCAGAGAGAGACACACCCTCCAAAGGCACATCCACAGCGACTTACTTCCTCCAGCTGGGCCCCACCTTCCAATAGCCTACTCTGCCAATGAAGTCACCAATCAGTAATGACCAATCACCTCTTTTGGCCCCACCTCCAAGCACTGCTGCATTGGAGGGTTGAATCTTCAGTACGTGAGTCTTTGGGCATGCTTCATATTTAAACCATAAGATGAAAATTTAAAAGGGCCACAGTTATAGGAAAGTGACCTTTAAATGTAAAAATAATGGACATTAAGGCTTGATTTTAAAAATAGGTCCATGCAAGTTATTTTAAAATGTGATTATTGTATTCAAGTACAGGTTGTGTACTGTTCAAAGAGTTTGAAAGGTTCCAATCAGTCCCTCTTAGTGTGTAAGTTAGGTTATTTGAGGCAATTCACTTAAATTTACAATATATGTTTAAATGCCCAAGGAAAAATGGTTGTTTCCTTCCTAATTCAGTCAAAAATATCACTGGGCAGAGCCTGAATGAGGAAGGTGGTTGAAAAGGGTCAGAGGACTGCCCAAACACAGGAGGATGGAGGAAGGAAGCAGGCTCAGAGGAGGTGTGGCGGCCAGGTTTTGATGGCTGGGGAGGGCGCTACAGATACGGAATGGGGGAGAGGAAGAAGGATGTACTACTACGGGTGTGGCTCTGAACTCGAGATACTCAGTAGGCAGAGATATAAAAGTATCAACACTAATGTGTGCACACATACGTACACTTACACACACACACACACACACTCGTATCTTGAGAGGGCCAGGGTACAGCAACACTAGTAGCACTGAGCATACATTCAATAAATGCTGCTTTTTTTCCACACTCCGGGGTTTTTTCCAGACTCCTGTTGGGAATCACCATCTTGCTAGAAAATTTAGGAGTACATGGGGAGATATTCAAAACATCCCCAGTTGTCAATCAGATTATACTTTCTCATGAGGAAAAGACAAAGTGGAAATTGACTGTGAGGCTAGCTCATAAAAATTTCACTTATCTGAATTCATTTATTTCACACCTTAGAAATAAAATACTTCAAAATTTATACTAGTAGCCAAGAGTATATATAAATATATATATATATATATATATATTTTTTGGTTTTTTTCTGGTACCAGGAATCAAACTCACAACCTTGTGCTTGCCAGGCAGGCGCTGTGCCGCTGAGCTAAATCCCCAGCCCCGAGAGTATATTTCATTTGTAGCACTTTAAAACTTAGCACTTTAATTTCCCTTTCTTGAGATATACTTCTACTATAAGACACACACACACACATATACACACACAAACATCCAATTACACGGTCTGATAGCCTCAAAACTGTCATCTTGGGAAAGTGGTTATTCCAAGGGTGTAGCTACTGCTCAAATCATCTCTGCTGCCCATCTTCTGTGTGGGCTCTAGGGCTTGTGTTATAATCTATGAGACTGCAAACTTTCACTCTCCAAAGTAGATTTTTAAAAAAGATACAATCATCAAGTAAAGAGACCTGAATCCCTAATTACTTTAACCAATAATAGAATGCAATCACGGGTACAGCTTCCCACAGTAACTTCTTTGAGAGTAACATTAATTTAGCTGAGTAAAAAAAATTATCATCACTCACACTTGTACTAGCTCACCAAAAGCACTTAAAAGTGGCCCTTCCCTAAAGATATCTGCCATTGTCCTACCAAGCTGCTACCTAGGAGTCCAAATGCTGTGGCCCATGGGATCCACAGCTGCTGTGACTTACGTGCCAGGTTCCGTACACAAAGTGTAACACACGGTGCCATTAATATCTTAGCATGCACTGTCTGATGTGTAAATTGTCAGCCCCGACAGACACAAGGTGATAGCAGAACACAACTCATCGGGAGGGAAGGCTGTCAAAGCACACTCATCCAAAAGCGTCCCGGAGCAGCATTCTGGTCTCAGGCAGTGCCACCCTCTCCCGGATGTGTGTCCTAAACAGATCAGACAAACATGGCTGCATGGTCCAAGCATGTGGTAATTTTTATTAAGAATAACTTTGGTTCTAAGAATTCCACCCTCAATTCTGTAATACTTTCCATTAAAAACAATTATACAAGAGCAAATACAAAAAATATTAAATTATGAAAACAAATCCATTAAGGCTCCCTTTATATATATTATATACACTCAAACAAGGCAAGAGTTTCCAGAGTAGAAGAATAAAGTCAACTGTTATAGCTTATAAAGCAATACTACTTTACTACCAGGAGACTATAAAACACTCAACTATTTTAAGAAAACCACAGAGTGGAAAAATGGAGCCATTTTTGTGGAAAAAAAAAAGCGGCTCAAAGCACAGGACCGCGCAGACGTTCCGAGTCCAGAGGCCTGGGCAGGACAGTGTGGAGGAGAAACGGACCATCCGCCGAGCTCCAGCCTGGGAGCCGGCTGAGCAGACTTCGAAGAACGTCACGACCTGTGCCTTGCGGTTCAGCACAGTCCGTCACTTTGCACTACTTACAAGTCTCTGGCTGGACCGTGTAGTACTAACTACAAACAACTCTGCTAACTTGTCTGCGATGCGGAGAGAATGCTCTTTTAAATTAACTCTTTCCCAGGGATGAATGAATTCTAGAGAAGTTTTAGGAACAGAATTCATCCTTCTCTAGGAGCCTGGTAGGGCCCTGGAGAATTACGTCAAATGGCAGAACGGCTCCAAAGACACAGATCTAAGTCCAGGCAGATGAAACAATTTGAGCCAGGCTGAATTTCCACTTTATCACCCACGCCGCCAAGCCACACGCACAAGGAAAGAGCTCCGGATGAGTGCGCAACCGACGTGTTCTTTCAAGACCATCAGCTACTGCACTTTCTTCTCTCAAGAGACTGGTGAAGAGACAGCCACCACTCCAGTCTTCAGAGGAAACTAGTATAGAGCAGTATTTTATCTTAAGCATCTTGTACTTTATTCAAATAATACTCGCTGATGAGACAAATAACCCACTTCAGGTGTAATCAACTAACACGTTTCCCTAGCCGTGTGTCATCCTCACTTACTTATCTTGTTCACACTAGGACTGAATACGGGCCTGTCAGCTGCTAAGACTAACGCACTCGCACAGACAGCTAATGTGTACTGTGCTAGTGAGGGTTGCAAAGCCCGGGTCCAACTCTCTGTCGTCATCAGAGGAAGCATAAGAATACTCCTTACTGCAAAAGTTACTGGCTGAGCTGTCTCTGCACTAAGTCCACACACATTACACCAGCAGTATAAAATTACTTCTGCATGAGAACTGTGCTGTCCCTGGAACGTGGATGTCCTCTGAGGAGCACATTTAATTAGCAAGTGTGAGGAGGCCGAGCTCCTCGGCTTTCCTGAGAGACGCAATAATACAGTAGTCATCAGAATCACCCTTCTCAACAGCACTAGGCTGAGCGGGTGGCAGAAGTCTTCCTGCACGAGGAAAAAAATAGTCAAGAAATATGTGACCCTTAGTCAGAAATTGTCAAAGTTTGGATTCTAATGATATCAAAATGTACAAACACTGTAAAATCTTCCCGCGGCACTCCTCACGAACATCCCCCGACACCGCTCTCTGGAGAGATTACAAGATTCTGGGCTTTCTACTTCTGAAAGGGAAGCTGGGTTGTATGTTCTCTTTCCATTTTCCAAAAGGCTGTGGAATCACTTCCTCTGGAAGGACTAGCTCAGCACAAAGGTTAAGAGTGAGACTGCAGAGAAACCCTACTGCTTATCACAGTGATGCATGACCTGCACACGCGCCTTCCTGCGCGCAGAGCGCCTAGATGGGGAGGAGGAGCCTTGCACACCTAACCCTTCTTTCCTGTCTCTGGACTTCAGTGCCTGCAGAGGTCACCGCTGCGCTCAACACCAACAGTCCCTGCTAAGAACTCTAACACAGGTGAAAGAACAAAGTAAGTAAGAAAACTTTGGACTCTCAAAATGTACCAGTATGGGATGTGACAGATTAAATGCATTTCTATGCAATCTAAGTTATCTGACAGATAACCATGAGAAGAATTAAATATCTTTTCTTTAGCTTTTCAAAGAAAAAGTCACCCTGCCCTACAGAATTTGGATTGAGGAAAAACTGAGTGGTGCAACTCTCCATTTACTCCAGTGTCCTCTTCCCTTTTCTCTTGTTCTGTTGTTTTGTTCTGCGAAAGCCTCTGAATGCAGGTCCATTATTCCAACTTAAGTGCTGGTCAATATCCTTCATTTGGCGAAAGGGAACTGCAACTGCCACCGACAATTCACCCACCCAGACCGCAGGAAACCACGGAAATCCCCTCCAGGCAGGCTCCTTAGCTGGCCGCAGTACTCCCTGGGGCTCCGGCCGAGACGGCGTGGAAAGGCACCCAGACAGTTCTTGCGGTGACGTCGGCGGCCCGGCCTAGGACTCCTGCGCATGGGCCACCTCCTGGCCTGTCCTCCTGAGGTTGCCTTTCACCTTCACAAACTCTGGCGCGTTTTCTTGCTCTTCTTGCAATTTCTGCTTCTCAAGTTCAAGCTAAAAGGAATTCAAAAACAGGAAAATTATTTATAACCTGAGAGGTTTGTCAAACCACTCTTGTCTTTCCAGTGGGCAATTCTCTCTTCATCCTCCACCTCAGAAAAAAATACATATGCGTATGTGCCAGTGCGCGCGTGTGTGTGCGCGTGTGTGCGTGTGTGTGTGTGCGTGTGTGTGTGTGTGTGCGTGCGTGCGTGTGTGTGTGTGTGTGTGCGTGCGTGCGTGTGTATGTTATTAAACATAAGGGCAC